CATACAAAAGCGTACATCCTGCACTAGCACACAAAACCCGTACCCGTACACAAGCGTACAAAACCGTACATCCTGCTTTAGGACACAAAACCCGTACCCGTACACAAGCGTGCAAAGCCGCGAAAGAGATGTGCATCGGATGTGTTTAAACCAGGCCAAACAAATCACCGAGCTGAAGCCAAGATCCTTAAGACGGACAGAAAAACAGACATTGTGGTTTTGAAGCCTCTCCATCGAACTAGCCAGATGCCTGAACTAGAACCGAAACAAGCAATTTTGGTTCGAACTTGCAAGTCTAGTCGGAGTTCAGCAAGACCAGGTCTTCGGAAAGTTGCTGTCGGTCATCGACAGGCGAGGCAGCTACTGCAAATCTGGCAGAGGTCCTGCGAAAATTAGGTCGGTATCATTCAGAAGTGAATGGTCATATTAATCTTGCCCAGGACCCAGCAACGACGGTATAAAGTGCCCAGCACTAGCAGGCGAAACCCGTACCGTACCTGCTGAAGCCGTGAGTTAACACACAACCCGGTACTATCTACAAAAGCGTACACAACCGTACATCCTGCTCTAGGACACAAAGGCCGTACCCGTACACAAGCGTACAAAACCGTACATCCTGCTTTAGGATACAAAACCCGTACCCGTACACAGGCGTACAAAACCGTACATCCTGCACTAGGACACAAGAACCGTACCCGTACACAAGCGTACAAAACCGTACATCCTGCTTTAGGACACAAAACCCGTACCCGTACACAGGCGTACACAACCGTACATCCTGCTTTAGGACACAAAAACCATACCCGTACAAAAGCGTACAAAACCGTACATCCTGCTCTAGGACACAAAGGCCGTACCCGTACACAAGCGTACAAAACCGTACATCCTGCACTAGGACTCAAAACCCACATTCGTTTGTGTATACATGGCTTCCCTGTCTTCTTGACTGACACATGTATTAGGATGTGTGCGTATATACACGGTTTGAGGTTTTGTGTCCGTAGGATGTACACTGGAAGCACACAGCTTGCATGCATGATTGCAGAGCTGGGCCTGGGATCTGGGACGGTCATTTAAAATTGGAGAAGTTGGCTGAGTTGTGTCAAACTGCTTCAAGGCTTCGTGGTATGTGAAAGTATACGTACTAAGTCCAGAGTTAGGCTTTATTCTTAAGGCGTACGAGTATACACAAACAAGGTGTCTAGCAGTCGTAGCAAGGAAGATCAGAAGCTGGGCCTTTATCCTCAAATCTCTACTATATATGAAACCTGACCGAAACGTTGCCCGGGTGTCAGGGTTTCGAGACTAAGCCCCAGTTACCCGGAAAAGAAGACACTTCTTAATTTCATAATATATCTTTCTAGAGAGTCCTAGCCAGGCTACCGAACCAAATGCATGAAAGACTTATTAACCCAGCTCTGCACGAAACATTGGCAGGTCGCATCCGACTGAAGCGGTCAGCAGCCCAAAGCTTGGAGTACGAGTGGCTTTAGGGCTAGGGTACAGCTGCTCAGCTGAGCAAGCTGTCCTTTCAATCCAGGATATCTACAATCAATAGTTTATGACTAGCATCTATGCCCACAAATAATATGTAGCAAGACTACTGGAGTGGAAGATGCCCGGGGTATATTCCCACCTATAGGTTAGGATTAAAATTTTTCGGCGGTCTGTAGGAGTTGGGCTTTGGATCTCACAGCAAGGCTCTTCTGTCAGATTGGAAACCACGATCCAACATAGAGTCCTGCGGGCAGGCAGGTAATGATTTCCGAACACCGACGTGCGTCGGCCTGGCTGAGCTCGCTTTGCAACGAATCATGCCAATCGGTCCTTGCCCTTGCCCCCCGTGCTTTGCCACCCCTGGCATGTGTCGTAGGGATATAGAGGCCATGTCAAGACCAGAAGGAAGCGGCCGGGGGTTTGTTTTGAAGCGTTTCGTAATTCTAGATTTTGTTTGCGGGACGAAGCGATAATCCTCTGCATGACCACTATAAGTCTAGTTTGCTACCAAGTAGCTTAAGGATGGGGAATCCAGAAACCGGGCCTGGACTCGAAACCACAAAGCCTCGAACCTCAAGATCAAGGTTTAGCGTGCAAGCTGGAACCAAACTCCCGACATTATGGTAGTACTCAAACACGACACCCCAAACCCCTTAAGCCCCTAAACACCGAAACCCCTAAACCTTTCAAGCCCCCAATTAAACTGCCAACAGATGCCAAACCCCGAACCCAAAAGCCGAAAAGAGTTTGGGCCCTGTGTTTTGGATCCCAACCCGGCGTATGAACCCGGTCGAAGGTGACCTCTCCCTCGGCTTCGATAAAGCACTGCAGGCTGCCTCCTCGATCCAGGGTCTAACTGTTGAACCAGGAAAGGGGGTCTCGATAAACCGGAGGTTCGGGGCGGCGGACAGCAATTACGTGCAATGGGCGGGGGTGTGATCTAAAGGGCCCGGGGCTTCCTAGGCTCTTCGAGTGAGAAGAAGTTCATGGATGAAGGTTCAGGATATTTGGGGCTGAGGTTATTTTTTAAGGTTCAGGGCAGCGTGGAGAGGGGCACGGGTTTCGGATGTTTAGCACTTAGCACAGGTTCAAGCACCAACAAATTTGATGAGCTCGCAGGCTCATATGACCTACTTCAGAAAGGCTTTGACTAATAATTAGCCCGATATTCAAGAGTAGGCTAGCTGCTACGAGTAAAGCTCAATGAGGCTAGCGACTAGTCTTACCTCGGACAGTCAGGATTTCAGGCTGTGGGTTAAGGGCTAAGATTTAGGTTTCCATACCAAAAAGAAATATGTGAACATTCGCCGTGTAGCAGGATCCTCATAATAGTTTGAACAATGCAAGTACTAGCGGCAACAGTTACAAGAAGGAGGAAGTCTAGGCAACTCGTCCATAGCATAAAAAAAGGTACTTGGATCCGACAGACACGTCGTGAAAAAAACCCTGGTCCTGGGTCCTGATCTAGATCGAAATGGCAGCCCCACCACGTCCTGGGCCGGGCGACGGAAGGAGTACGGGACCCTAAGAGTCTCAACCACTAATCTGTTGGGAGAAAGACAATCCCCGAGTTATACCATATATTAAGTCGTGGTTAGATTTTTGCGAAGTGAACTTTTGGGCAGGATAAACCCCACGAGTGCAGCTCGGTCGTGCGAAGCCCCAGGATACCAACAATCCACGAACAAGGCATTCCCGTAGTTCTGTGGCTCTACTTTCCATACGTGACCTGATATATTTGCATCAGAGCCCCAGCACCAATATATGGATATTCGGGGTGATGGGGGTTGCGACTGTACAGAACCCAAGCTCAACTGCTGCAAACTTGATTGGAGTACATCCTGCACTAGGACACAAAGACCATACCCGTACAAAAGCGTACGATTTCGTACATCCTGCACTAGCACACAAAATCCGTACCCGTACACAGGCGTACAAAACCGTACATCCTGCACTAGGACACAAAAGCCCTACCCATAAACTATGGCGTTAACTAATACAGCAGCAAATCCGCCAAGACACAACACCTGTATCTCTACAAAAGCTTCTTGTCCAGTAGCCCTAGGAGACATCATACGAAAGCGTACATAACCGTGCATGCTGTGATTAGATGCTTGGACAGAAAAACCGGCCCTGGTATAGAAGCCTAGGGAACGTTTCCTCTTCCACTGCTAGCTGGGATATAAAACACGTGCCAACACAAATTAAAGCGTTCACTGAATGTAGAAGAAAGACACAAAGCGAAGCCAGGAAACCTTTGTCGATGAGCATCAGCTCGAAGCCAGAGCCATTGCGGGGCACCTTGGTTTACGGTTTGGGGTTTAAGGTTTGGGTTCATTTGAGGACGGGACTAGCTGACTAGCTATTGTATGTCAGACCGGGCACAGGATGAGGAAGAGCAGCTCGCCATTGTTCGGATGTCCCAATTGCACTCCAGACGGAGTCTTGGATCTAGTTTTTGATATCCCTTTATCGTCAACCTATGCTCTATAATTAAGGTCAAACCATCAGCTCCTATGCCTATCTCGGCGTGAAGGCCTGCGAAAGACAGGGGTTTGCATGCAAGGTTTCGACTGCACATGAGCATCTGAGTCAGCTCTAGCAGGATCAACAGCAGTGCAGTGGCATGCGGGGCACACCTCTGTCATCGCTCTCGCAGGATCGCTTGCGAGCTGAGGATGCTGAAGCTGTACCTGCCACCGGCTGCACAGCTTATGTACCGTACCGTTACATAGTGTCCATACAGCCAATCGCAATATTATGAGTGGCACTGTGCGTGCAGCTGTTTGATCGCAGTAGCATGTATCCGTCTGTCCCAGCTATAGCTCGATCAGAGGGCGACCCAGCTGGAGCGGACTTTGAACCATATAGCAGCTAGTGCAGCCTAGGTAATATCTTTACACTACATATTACTGGGAGCCAACGGATCGTCTGCATCGATCGTCTGCACCGGAAGGCACGTGTAAAAAAAGGCGAGCCACGACTCACATGTCCGGGACCTGCAGGGAAGTTGAACTTAGGGTTAAGTTTAAGCGAAAGGTTTTGATTGTTTTCGGTTGCGAAAGGGGGTTTTAAAAACATATGACACCTACTTCCGGGCTGTGATGATTACCTAAGTTATATCAGAATATTGAACCCTACCCTTAATATATCAGACCACCCCAGTCTCATACTTCAGACCCACCCACATATCGACACATAACCTCCGAGATGCCTTGACCTTAAAGCCTTGCCCCTAAATCCTGTCTCGACTGGTACGGGTACGAACTCGGCCCGGCCTCGTGCAGCAGAAATGCCACTGCCATATCGTGACAGAAGATTTCAATTTCTGTCTGATCAGTCATCGTGCTGAGGCCCTGCTCGGACACATATGCCAGGAACTTTCGCTCGGCTTTGTCTTTCGCCATCGCGACTTTTCCGGACAAATGCCTTAGACGGTTAGGTCAGCACGGAAGGCTTTCAGTAGCTCACGAGGGCCGTGCAATGAATGTGTTAGATTAAAATCAAGCAGGACACTCCTGGAAAGCTTGAGCAGCAAATTGAAATCTCCAGAGAAACGGCGTGGTTGTCGGCGGCGGGCGACCGGCGAAAGTCTTGTTGGGCTCCTCCGGAGCCTTCTTTCCTTTTTTCTTCTTCTTATCCTCCTCATCAGCCGGAATCGTGTCCCCGCTGGCCCTTTTCTTGGCATTGCCCTTGGAAGTATCCAATCCTTGCTCCTCCTTTTCCTAGGTTGGGACAAACACTAAAGAATGCACACCCAGCAGATGTTGCAATCTATTGAGAAGAGGGTCGGCGGCAACGGCATCTGGATGCACAAAATTTCTCTGCTCCACTAAAGCTTCCATCGTAGCCAGATCGGTTTCACTGGAACTATCATCCAACGTGATGGCATCCTTGGCTTATGGAAAATTGAAACCATATGATGCTACTCGATATTTCTGAGTATTAGGCATGCTTAGCCCCAGACGGACCCAAAGATCTTCAAATGAGCCTCTGCGTACTTCTGCTGGGCAGCCTGAGTTGGATTCATACCACCAAAGAGCAGGAAGCCTTTTCCTGAACCCAACTATCGCCAAGAACCTCCCGAGCTGTAGTACATGAAGACGAGCTCGGCACCGACTGCCTCAATGGATATATTATCCCAGAAAACTTCCACAAATTTGCAACAAGACCGCTAAATAATTGCAACCAATATTCGGCCGATTTATCGGATCTCCAGGCGGATCGCGATCTCCGGACTCACGATCTCCATCGCCCGCATTGGGCTCACGATGTCCATCGCCCGCATTGGGCCCACGATCTCCATCGCCCGCCTTGGGCTCACGATCTCCATCGCCCGCCTCGGGCTCACGATCTGCAGGATCGCTAGACTGCGGCTCCTTGGACTTCCACTTCGGTCGAGGTTTCAAAGCCGAACGTCGGGGCTGTCGTGGCGGACTGGCATCAATCATCTCTGGAGAACTCAAGCATCCCATCAGGTCCTCAACCTCCTCAGCCGTAAAACGGCTCAAGTCACCAAACTGCTCCTCCAGCTTTTTGTTCCTTATGGTTCCGAATCAGTTTCCGTGTGCGTGCTGCGAGTTTTCAGCTGGAGACCGTTTGCGAATCCAAGCGACCTCGTTGCAGGTGCTGAAGAGCTCCTGAGATGCAGAAATTACACAGCACCTACGGTTCAGTAATGGGCACATGACAAAATCTAGCATGCCCGCACACATGCAACAATAAATTTATGTGAGCCACGATGGCTCTGGCGGCTCTGGCACTGGAGAAGCCAACAACTCTTCAATCTCATCCCAGTCAGGCGGAGCTTCATTATCAATCTCGTCAAGCATAGCATCGATCTCTTCGCCAACCTTATTGCGGCCCGTCTTAGGCTTCTTTTTCTTCTGCAGCCAACCATCCATCCTCGGACGGAGAAAAGATCAGGCCAAACGACCACAAATCTCGGCATGTTGATATGCACTAATGCAGCTGGACACTTCGCTTTCAATCGATCCAGTCGTTCGTTATGCGAAGACCTAGCTGGGCTTATGTAGACTGATACTTTGAAAGGTCGCGTATGACCATGACACTGTGTATGGCCTAGCCACTCTGTCTTTGCTCGCAGCCGGCGTACTTTTGCACAGCCTTTCTTCAGAAGGCCGGCTATAACTTTGCGATCCATCTCCGGCAATTTCCCCGAAGCCGCATTGTCCACCTTGCTTTGATCAGCGGGGCTTTGTTCTACTGAGCTTGCATATATCTATATATATGTGTATATATATATATATATATATGAAATTTGATTTCAAGGCACTGCGACTTCGAAAACTCGGGGGGCAGGAACCTGGTTCACCACCACATATCCTCGGAAGGTCAATTCCACAGCACAACATATCTCGACCAGGGAACAAGACGTACGAAACCAACAATATATCCAAGGGACGGAGGGATTCCAGCACACTGTCGAGGACGGAGAAGCCCTCGTGTTCGATCCAGTCTGTGGGCAACGAGCTCTTCGGGTGGGCGAATCTCATAGCGTTCGGCCACATTTGCCCAACACCTCACCGTATTTATGTACAGAGCACGGAATATATCACTGGATCTCAGCGTAAGCACGAAATGTTCTGAGCTGAGAGCTTTTCAAAGGACGTAGAATTGGCTTGAGAGCCAACGTTATTGTCTTCACCACCTACAGTCTAGCTGGGCCACACCGTGCATGCTGTGCTCCTCGATCTGTCCTTGAGTTAATTTGCAAGCGAGCCACATCTTCCTCGGGGGATAGAGACACTTGTGCAGGATCGGCGCAAGGATTCTCCTCCTCTACGACAACTTATTTTTATGGAAAGTGCAGGAATCTGTCCCAGGAGTCCTCAGTCTCCATGGCTGCTGACTTTCTAAGAAAACACGAACACGAACCCAGTATTTTCAAGCTTCTGTGGCTTTGCCAGCGACCCGAAGGCCGAACTTCTACATCGATCTGCTCTATGACTCTAATCATAAGGAATTCCTCACATGCTCCGGTCCGTATGAGCCATGAGCCAGACTGCGATCCAACGTCATTTAGCCTGCTGCTCACACAGACTCACTCGGGCACAGCAGGGGCACTTGGAGCACCTGGCTTTGGCAAGACCAGCTTCAGCAGCTGGTTCATCCGCCATGATGCATTCAGCGCGTAACGGCATTATTTAAATCACGATATGCCCTGGCCCTTTAATGAATTGCTGCAAAAGGCTATAGTCTGCAGGTCTTGAGTCTCACGAATCTCGCATGGACTGACTGAGCCAGCTTCCGTGCAATCACCAGTTCCCGCTCACATCGATGCCCGCTTATGTGAACGAGAATATATGATGCTTATATGAATATCGTGAATAGAAGGCGGCTCCTATTGGAGCACCGACTATCCACATATATGGGGTTTAGGGAGTAGACAGGAAGAATCCCTATTGGGGCACCACCTGTCCACATATAAAGGAAATTAGGGTCTTTTTTTCTCAGCGAGTTTGAGCCAACCTGCAGCTGTACAGCAAACATACAGAAACCGTCTAAAAATATTGCTTCCGCTGGCCCCTGAGTGCCTGAACTCTGTACGTTTGTCCCCAAATTTTGGGCTCACGGCGTCACAGATCGATACACCAAAGCTTGACAGCAGGCCTTTGGTTCCAAAAAATGCAACCGTCACTCTTTTTTCGGTGCTGCCATCCAAAAAAAGGCCTTTGCCCCAAATCGGTGCGAGTTGCATTTTTTTTTGGCGCCCGAGACTTCTCCGGGTACCACCACGGTAAGGTCGAGGCTATAGTTGATACAGGTGCTAGCCGGTGCATTATAGGCCATAAGCTGTTACCCAATCTCCTACAACAGTTGCCCGATCCCGTGCGCAAGGTTGTGAGGGAGACTCGCAGTGCTGTAAGGTTTCGCTTTGGCAACAATCAGACGCTGACTTCCCAGAAAAGGGTGCTTTTTCCACTTCGAGGCGTGCGGGGTCAATGCGTGTGGATAGGAGTTGAGGTGGTGCCCGGTGCCACACCCTTTTTGCTCTCAAAGAGAGCCCTGAAGCACTTGGCGCGAGCTCATCACCCTAAGCTACCCGAGCTGCCCCTAGAGAAGCCACTTGACCTCCTAGAAGTTTTAGCGGACCCAAAGAGCCGACTCACGGCTGAAGTTCAGGAGGCTGGGGGCAACGCTATGCGGGTTACAGCTGAACAGTGCAATCTAGAAACCCTTGCCGGTCAAAGATGGTTGTTGACGTT